GCCTCCTATTTCCTAATCTTTCTCTTTGCCCCCCAGCAAGGCTTGGGAAGGGAAGTACTTGTTGGTGTTATTACTGCATTTCAGAGCTCTGTCTTAGCTGAGAAGAAGAGGCTAGAGCTGCTAGCGTCGAGCCCTGGAAGTGCTCCCTGGTGTGGGCAAGTGCCCACTTAACACATGCTGTGGAGCACCCATCGGACAATGTCACTGTCCGACCACAGTGCTCATCCCACCTTGTCCATCATCCCCGGGCAGGGGACCTGGCAGCGATGACAGCACAGCAACCCAGCCACACCACCCTGTGTGCTAGTGGGCAGTTGGAAACCATCTCCCCTGACCCATGCCCAGAGCCTGTACTTCCCTTTGGTGACTTCTTCCTGTGTCTTGGATCCCACTCACTATGCACAGGATGACACGCGTGGGTGGATCTGGCCTTAAATCCATACCCACATACCTCCTTCATAACGCTGAACTCTTTGCTAGCAGCCTCTTTCCTCCCCTTTGAAGAGGGACCCGGAGAGTATTTCCCTGTTGAGGCAGCGCTCAGTGTCTTTCAGAAATAACTCTCAGCAGGGACGAGTGATGTACCTGGAAAAGACGAGAGCAGATCCACCCTCCACCTTGTTGTTCTTCTTCTTCCCTTTACACAAAGATAACGGTTTGGGATGGTCTGCCCGGAGGCTAGAAGGTGGTTCAAGATGTTTCTTCCCCCTGTCCCAATCTTCCATACAACCCCTGCCCCTTCCCTTGTGGGAGGATTGTTCTCCAAGTGCAATATCATCATCTCTACTTAGGATGGTGGTGTTGTAGCAGCATCCTAAGTGGTTGGATGGTGAGGTCGGAGGGGTGGCTCAGGCATATCTGTAGTGGGTGGGAAGCAACACCAGGTTATGGTGAGCAGCACCCATGTCCCCAGGGCCTGTACAAGACAAGTGACTGAACACCCCAAGCAGGCCTGTGGGGTGGCGGAGGCAGACACCTCACCATGCCAGAAAGGGAATGAATGGGAGGAAAAGTCCAGTCTTCCCACCAGCTGCCCAACACAGGGCCAGAGGAGCACAAGCGCTGTGATTTCTCACCAGGCTTCCCCAGGCACATCCAAGGACCTCTAAAAGAAATTTACGTCTCTGATTTGATTCAGCTGGGTTAAACAGATATGATTAAAAATTCTTGTTAAAGGTCAGGCTGATTTGCGGGAACTGAGATTAGCCAGCCACGTGGCAACTTAGTGGAAAATCAACAGCTAATTACTTACATTTGAGTGTCAGTCATTTTATCGCATATTCTTATGAGCAGTAGGGCAGGAAGGAGAAAAACCAAACTCACCCACACAGAAAAGTAGTAGTTTAACTTGCTAAAACCAGGATAAAACTAAAGCACAGGATAAGGTGATCAGTGCCAGAAAAATTTTATAGTGCAAGCTCTGTGTCCACTGGGAATAGATTGTATCAAAATAAACATGTGCAACCTTTCTTCTGGAGAGTCCCTGGAGGGAGCTGGCATTCTGCCTGAATTACTTCTTTTCCAAGCAACTATTCATTGTATGAATGAATGTTGGGGGGGAATGTTTGTGCTAAAATTCTCCATCTGATAAGTAGGCCAGGGGTACAGAGTTAACAATTTTAGCCAGCATTTCTTTTCCAATATGTCACTCTTCCCCACTCGTGGGTGTGTGTCTTTCTGTGTATCTGCCTGAGTATGGCCCTGATGGGAGTACGTGAGCTTTCTCCTCCTTTGTCCAGGTGGCTCCCATCTCTCTGAGTGATAGCATCTTCACTCATTGTTGATAATGATGATAATGATGAAACTTTAAATGTAACTGTCACTGTTAAATACTCCACTGGCAGGAGTTATATCATGTGGTGTTGTTACCCAGAGGCTTCTGAAATCTCTTTGTTAGCATGAAGGATTGTTCACATTTTAAGAAATCCTTGTGCCACTTGCTTTTTTATGTCACCTTTTTGTCAAGGGAACCGTGGCACAGTGCTATAGCATTTACTGCCTGCCTTTGTCATTGCAATGAGCCAGAATTGCTTCCAAAACCAGGCACTGAGGGGATGACAGAGCAGATTTCCAGTTTGCTATTTGGGACCCTCCCACCTGAGGGACTGGGATAGTAATGTAAAGCACGCAGATAGCACTAAGCCCCTACCTAAGCTCCATGCCATATTTTTCTCCTCCAGATGTAAGCCAACATCTGGTGTGGCTCAGGAGAGGGATGGCAGTTGTATACTCTGCCATATCTATTTTATTGAGAACAGTTTTAATTTCATATGGTACATATGTACTGACAAATGCTGTTAGCAATGCTTACGATGCTCTGGAGATTTTGCCGTGTGAGCAAACAGGAGCAAAATGACAATTAGGTATTGTCTAACACTAGCAACAGCACAGCAGGTCCAGAATTTCATGTCAGTCAGTGAGAAACCTTGTGTGCTGGAAGCCGGCCATGAATTGCTTTACAGATCTAGCCAAATCCTTGGCAGAACAGACCAGTTAGACCTGTTGCTCTCTTGTAAGGGTAGAGGCTTCCTGGCAGTGTAATTCCTTGGCAGTTTACAGGGTACAGCTGCAGGAAGCGCCTTTCCTTTAGGTATGTTGTGCCTCTCCAAAACATCCAGGGCTGAGCAGCACTGATGCTGACTGCCCCATCCACCCCGATTCTTCCTCAGAGCCACCCAGTGCTCTTGTCCTCATATTCCTGCTTTCTCCTGGGAAGCTATTGCAACCAGAGGAGATCTTGGTACAGGAGAGGAAGATCTTCAGGGATTCAGAGAAAGTGACCTCTTCTGCTGACACTGCCCCATTTTGGTTGTTATATCATAGATTCGAAAAAAGGTGCACCAACAGGGCATTTTGAGTAAAGGTCTAGGAAAGAAAGACAAAAAAATCCTAAATGCTAACCCTTGGCATATTACAGATGTCTTCTTTAATCTTGAATAAAATAGGTGAACATTTTGATCACAATGACTGAGCAAATAACAACAAAATACACTGAATTTTGTCTCTACATTTTAGCCTGATTTATTTGAAAACATACATGTTGGGCTAGCAGCGTGATTCTGGGTCTGGGCAAACAACCACCTAAAGTATTTGTAAAACACTGGTATATAAATTTAAATGAGTCTATAAATTTTCCTAGTCTAAAATATGGATTGTGATATGGCTGATTTGGCTGTTTTGCAAAACTGAATAGATATCAAAAAAAATTCTAAAAACTCCATGGTGTTATCTATTATTTTGATCTGTATAATAGAATCAGCAACTTTAATTTGCCAGTTACAACTAAAAATTCCAGTCCTTCAGCCTTTGTATTTCCTATTTATGCTACTCCATCAATGAGCTGAATGCAATGAGGTAGTAGCCTCACCCTCCAGTCAGTGACCCATAACTTTTAATTCCTCATTACTCATACTTGGTGAAAAATAACAGGGTAGTTTCATGTTCTTAGCTAACTGCTGAGTAATGAGCAGGTGGAATATTGCTGTAAGAGAACTAGTAGCCAAAGGGTAGAATTTATCCACTTTTCTTACTATCAATAAGTTTTCACTCCTGTTTTTTCATAAGATGTTCTCTAAACAGGTGAATTTATGTGTGACTCACGTGTGGAAAATACTGTGGGCTTAAATAATGCCTACAAATTAACTTCCCTTCTCCCTCCCCCTCCGATTTTATTTATGTATTGCATGTTGAGAACTCATTAAGTGAGAAACATTGATTTTCAAACAGAGTGTTATCGTTGCCTGTCATTACACCGTGGCGTTGAAAATGACGCTTTGATAATACCAAGGGTTTGCAGTGGCATTGTTCTGCCGGTTGGGAAAATATTTGCGTAGGATGCAGCAACATGCCGCTTTTGTGCCTGACATGGGCACAAGAGAGGCTACAGCAGCACAGGGCTTCCTCCTCGCACTGAAGCAATTACGGCTCAAACGGCTTTCTCACGGGTTCAGGTTGAGCCAGGGGAAGTTTAGAGTGGATTTTAGGAAAAACTTCTTCACCAAAAGGGTGGTGAAGCATTGGAATGAGTTGCCAAAGGAGGTGGTGGAGTCACTGTCCCTGGACGTGTTTAAAGAACGGCTGGATGTAGCACTTCAGGAGATGATTTAGTGTTAGGGTGGTATAGGGCTGTAGGTTGGACTTGATGATCTTAAAGGTCCTTTTCAACCTTTTTGATTCGATGATTCTATAAGACCAGAGAGAAGAGGAGGGTGGGCGGTGAGCTGGCAACCAGCCTTTCTGAGCATCTCAGCCTTCAGCTGGGCTGCTCTTATTTCCCTTTGCCTCACCCACACAAATTTACTTAATTTCCCCAATTTATCCCCTTTTACTCATGTGGCTTTATGGACACATCTTGTGTTTGGAGTTCTTTCTCCTTGCAGCTCAAACTGGTGGAGCAATTGGGCTATAAACCTGACAGCGGGTCGCAACATTTTGGTGAAAATCAGCAAAAAGAGTGACAAGCATAGTGTGGTCCCCACAGTTGGTGCCAGGGCTACATGAGGGGTTTCTCACAGTGAGCCTTAGGCCGTGGGATTTATGAGTACACTTAGAATTTGAATCTCTCTTGTCTCCAGGTCAGAGCCCACAGTGGAGGACAGAGAGCCTTCCAGTTAGGAAACTCCACCTGAGAAGTGAAAAGAATCAGTGATGCCAGCTCTTGCACTGGGGATAGTTTTGGGGGAATGTAGGAGCACTAAAAATGCCTTTTCAACTTGGGCAGACCCCAGGGTCCATCCAGCCTGCAAGTTAGCAGGCAAACCATGTTGTGGCTGGCAGCCTTGATTCCTAGCTGGAGCGCCTCAGGCTAGTGTGACGCACTCACAGTGGATGTTTCCTAAAACCAAGGACTGTGGCATAAAGCACTGCTGACACATTTATCTGACCTGGATATCATCACTCTGTTATTAAAATTCAATAGAGCGACTCTGAGATTAACCTGCAAGCAGAGCTAACAAAATGACAATTCGTAATGATTCTTGCATTCCTTCAACAGGAAAAACTGCTTAGACAATCTAATGGATGAAGATGAGAAAGACAGGGCAAAGAGGTGAGCACTTTTTTTCTCTTGTAACTCTCTGTTTCACTTGTGATGAGCTTGATACTGTTTGTTGATGCAGAAGCTGTTTTATCCATAATCAATTAATCAGAGAGAGAGAGAGTAAAATACGGCCAAGCACAACTTGAAAAACTGCCATCTCACAGATTCCTATTCTTGGCTACCTTGTAAGAAGAAAATAACATAGTGATGTTTCCTGTGGAAAATGTCAAAAAAATCCAAGGCATTGATCATTCTCTTCGCATTACTGCAGAACACAAGAAATGAAGAACAAACAACATACTCCTGCTGCTATCATCTGAGCTTCCTGAGTGTATAAAAATGGGGTGTGGGGTTTTTTTTAAAAACACATTTTGCAAAAGAAAAAGAACTTGAAAAGTGTTTTTTTCCCCTATTATGATGGTTGTTTATTCAGCAATGCCTATCTCACAGTAATGAAAACACCCAGAAGTTACCTCCAGAGCAGAGAAAGACGGTGAAAAGTGCTGTGTCACCCCTAAACTGACACAAACCTTTATTCACGTACGTTCTGCACTGCACCATCAAGTCCCGGTTGGCAGGAAATTGCTGTGAACACTTTTTGAGGAGGGGAAGGTTTTTTTTCAAGGCAGAAGACACACGCAATGTAACTCTTAATAGCTGTCAGATCTGACTGGCATCTACAGAAAAGCTCTCTAGAAGCATCGGAGAGGTTTGGAGGATTTTTTCTGGACGCGTTATCAATACCTCAGCCTGCAGTCTAATTGCATTAGAGGGAGCAGTGGGGTTGCCCGTGTTTTCCCCCTTGGTTCCCTCTAACGAGAGTATTTCCAGGCACAACTAGTTGATCCAGTCTCGTCTCTTTTGATTCCTTCTCTGCTTTTTTTTTTTCCCCTCCCTGCAGCTTTTCCTCGCCAATATAGGTCAGCGCGGGCTGCAACCGAGCTCAGCCATTCCTCTTCCCTCCCTCCTCCGAAGGTGTGCGTGCTCAAGCTGCCCAAGCCCTGACTTTGCTACCAGGAGCAAAACCCTGACCCAACAACCTCACCCTGAGGCCATGGGTCCACCAACATCCCCCCCGGGCCACCCCTCTTTATTAAGGGCTGCATGCCCAGGAGAGACCCGACATGGGGTACGGCTCTGCCTAAACATCTGTCAAGCAGGCAGGCACCTGGGACCAGGAGAGGAGGCAGATTTGGGGAAGGGATGCCTCCTACCACAGCCACCCCAGGGCTCTGGACACCAGGAGGTGTCACGTTGCCCCAGAGCCGTGGGATCAAGGAATGGAGCAGGGGAAGGGAGCCCCACCTTGCATCGCTGCTTCGCATGCTTACAATCCTGATTATCTTTGAGATATTTGTGTGCTAATTGTTTAAAACGAAACAAAACAGCGTGTTAAACAAATGCATACAGGACAAAAATAGGATAACGCATATCCTCGCTATCAGCGATTGTCACCACCATCTGGTGTGGTTTGCATGCCGTTTGCTCCTGGAGGGAATTTTTGTCATACCCTGGGGCAGGCCTCTATCGAAGTGGATAAAAAAAATTATAGCCTTGGAAATGAAAAAAAAGGAAATTTCTTCTTTAAATTGTAATTTAAATATATTTTGCTTTTTAGAAATAAATCTAAATTTGAAATTAAGTTTGAAACCATGAGAGGTCTGAGTTCTTATAAATGTACTAAACCAAGTCAGATTAATTTAAAAGCTACAAGTTTTCTTCCAAAGCTTTAAAGAGAGTCAGATTTGGGAGAAGCCACTGGCTGAGCATTTTGTTGTTGTGTCTTGAAAACTGAGGATTCTCATCTGTCCCATGCTGCAGGGAAAACTCCTCAAGTTTCCCTATTTAATAAAAGGACTGGGTCCCTCTGTTCGGAGAAATGAGAAATGGGATAAAAAAGCCAGGAAAATTGTTCTCTACTTTCATTTTCTGTGTTAAAAGTAGGTGAGACCGGAAGCTTCTGGATCTAACCCTTTGGGGATGGAGCCAAGCCTGGAGCTGGGTTTCTCAGGTTAGAGACACACACGCACACCAGTCACTACCTGCAGCAATTCATGAGGCGCACACAGGTTGTATTACACAGGCATGAGAGAAGGATTCATCCTCTCCAGAGGAGATGTACCAGCACTCCCACCCCTGGACCAAGCAGTCAGTATTTGGCAAAGATGTATAGCTCTTCCTTCAGGACGTTGGTTATTTTGAGCCCCATTCTGCATCCTTTGATTGCCTAAGGCACTTCTTCACTCCAAAGACCTGAGGACTGAAATATGGATATGATGGCAGCGCACTTGGGAGCATCGAGGACCTCTTTGAGGTCTTCTGATCTTCTGGAGATCAGAAAACATCATTTCATTTTCAGTTCTTTGATGCTACATGAGGCTTACTTCATTTTTTTAGATTTATTAATTTTAAACCAAAAAGCGTGCTTTGTGCACTTTTTTCTCTGTTTTTCTTTTAGCTTGATTTAATAATAAATTATTTTTAAATTTTTTTTTTGCAATTCAGTTGAATTCCTAACTGCAGACAAAACCAGCTTGAAGTGAACCTTAAATAAGTGCTTAATAAGTAAGGACTATCACCTGCCATTTTTCACTCCAATAAAAAGTAAATTTAAGAACTTGGATGGAGGTATGTGGTCTGGTTACTTGCTTTGATGCATACATAGTGTATCCCACCAGACAGCAAAAAGAAATATGAAATTTAATGTAAAGCTACATATCATTGTAAACCAGTAAGATGTAATGGCTACTCGACAGCAAGTATCAGTTTCTCTTTAAGAAAATAAGCAGCAAATATATAAGACAATGAAAATAGCTATTTAGAAGACACTTTACGTAGGTGATTTTGATCATTCTGAATTCAAGCTATCCTGAGTTGCCCTTAGCTGTATTCACTAAAAATCCAGATTTTATCCATACTGTCTCCTTCTTCCCCTTGGATACAATATTTTATTTCTGGAGTAATGAGGAAGGAGGAGAACTGGGACAAATAGTATGGAATTGAGACAGAAGCTGTTTTGGCTTACTGTAAATTATATGCCCTAGCAGTGAAGTAAGCAAAGCAAGGGAATAATCTTCCAGGGGAAGTGATGAAAACTGCATTATTTAAGGCATTTACAACCGGACTGAACAAAGCATTTACAACTGTGCAAGGATAGTTTAGATGACCTAATTTTGGTAGATTTTTTCTCTCTTTTTATTTTTTTTCTTCTTAAGATTTTACTGTGATCATCCATCCAGGTTTGGTATAGTTATTTCCACTAGAGGAGTTTTTAAATTTCCTTTGTGAATAAAATGTCAAGTGTTAAAAATAGATTCTTTAGATTTCTGTCAAGGCTTCTTTATTTTTTTTTTATAAAGCAACGCTTTCCCTATAGATGCTTGGTGGTTTATTTTATTTTCAGGATGATCAGGACCCTTTGAGCTTAAAATGAACTGAGGATTGAATTATGAGGAAGTAAAATGCTGATGATCGTAACGTCCCCTTGAACTGTACAGAAATAGGATAAGGCTGGAGCTTTTCACATCTTGTTCTGACAGCTTTTGCACTGTAATAAGAACAGGCTGAAATCAGTCAGGCAGTACCCACCCAATCTCTTGTGTTCAAAGCTGTAAAATAATCAAGTGTTGGCTTCCATCCAGCATATCTCCAAGTGTGTTCAGGGTTGAGAGTAAGACAAACAAAAATTACCCCTCTGTCAGTAGTAACATCCAGAAGCCTCTGCAGTGATTTCTCTGCTGAAAATGTTTATCACCATCCTCGTATTAGGAGGGATGCAGATGGTGGGCTCAGTTTTGCTCTGATTTTCAGAAGCAGAGCTGCTTGTGAGGTACAGCAGAGTTAGTTGGGACTGAGAAACTCAGAGAGAAAACCAGACTGTTGGCTTTTCTTTCCTTTTTAGATCTTTACATAATTAACAAGGCAAATCTTGCCTGCTTGAGGACCTTTTAGAACAAACAAACCTCCTGGGTTGTGTTTATTGCTATTTTCACATGGTTACAGAAGTCAGGGTGATCCCCTCTGAATAGAATGGTTTTCATATTCATGGGAATAATGCAGAAAACACTTGCTCATGTATAGGTTGACATACAATTTAAAAAAAAAAAAGTTCACATGCCAGAAAGATTATCGACAGCCTTAATGACTTTATTACGATGGTTTTAAAACACCCCAAATGTAATCAGGTCCTTTCTTCCTTTAAATTCTTCAAACACAGCAGCAGAAGCAGTCTCTCTCTGAGGAACCTGCAAGCTAAACAGATAAAACTGGCAAAGCAAGCTGCAGAGTCCTCATTGTACACCTAAAGAGTTGGGGCACCGTGACCTTAAGCTATTTTTCCAGTGGCATAGAGAGATCAAGGGCAAGTAGGGGACGCCTGCTAGCACTTCGGAGCCCCCAGGTCTGGGAACATATCTCAGACTCACACCTGGTCCGTGCTGGGATGAGACATGTTGATGGCCTCCCTCCTGCTTGCCCTTGTCACTTTGGAAAGGAGGCTGAAATGGGTGGCATATGAACTAGATGGGAGCTGCAGCAACCTCTACCCATATCTCTGATCTTAATGACCGGAAAAGACAACAGCCCAATTCCTCTCTGTAAGGCAGCTTGGAGGTAGCCAGAGAACCTGTGACCAAAGTGGGCAGGTCCCTCTAGGTGGACCCAGCTCCAGTGCAATGGCTGAGCTGCAAGACCGGAGTCCTTCTCTCCTGTTAAGACTGCACAGATGGGTTTGACCCATAGTTTTACCAGTCCAATTCTTCTTTATGGATGATTTTACTGTTCTCACAGTATTCCTATTTCTTCTTGCGTTGAGTGCCTTCTCAGAGGCCATGTGAACTTTCAAGATCCTGCACATGCCTAGGGCATGGAGAGAGCTCTCTCCATCTGGAGCATCTCTCCAGCTGGCCTCCTAGGCTCGACTGGAGTGTCCAGAGGTGGCACAGAGAGGCAACCAGAGCCTCCATCTCCCCTCTGGACTCTAAAGGTGGCCTAAGACGAGAGCAAGAGATAGAAACAGTCACCTTCTACTTGTCTCTGCATCTTCACTGGAGGCCAGTGTCAATCTTCACATACTGAGGCACACAGCAATCTAATTTCCATGTGTGTACAGTGCAAAAAGGAAGTGCATGATGATTTTTCCTGGTCATCCTTTCTTATTCCCCCTGTCTACAGGGCTTCGCGTAACAAGTCTGAGAAGAAGAGGCGCGATCAGTTCAATGTACTCATCAAAGAGCTCAGTTCCATGCTTCCAGGCAACACTCGCAAAATGGACAAAACTACTGTACTGGAAAAAGTCATCGGCTTTCTGCAGAAACACAACGGTAAGATTTACTGCAGCTCTTCATGCACTTGCTAAATAGCTACTACAATATTCTGTTTCCTTCAGTAATTATCAGAATGGCTTGGAAGTTTAAAATGTCAACAAAAGGTGTTGGGTTTTTTTCTATCTCATCAAAAAAGACCATTTGCTGGTATCACACTGCCCATATCCATTTTCTTGGCTTCTCTTTAGTTGAGGATGAGCCTCAACCTGCTAGAGAAGGAGGTGAATGTCAGGACCAGAGGGAAGGCAGAGAGCAGAGCCTTGTAGCATGTGCGAAAAAGAGGGATGTTTTGAAGAAGAAAGATTTGGAGCCAGAGGGAAGATTCCCTTCCTTGAAATTTGTAATATTCTGAGCAGAAGAACAAAGTATTTGCCTCAGCTTCTCTGCAGAGAAAAGCAGGGAAGCAATCTGTTCAGCCCCCTGCTCCTCAGTGGACTGTGCAGGACTCAATTTTCCGCAGTGAGCAGAAAACTCAGTCCAGAAAAGGTCCCAATTTTCAAAGCATCCACAGCAAATAGCATCTGCAGATAGCTGACGTGCTTCACCTGGTTTGCACAAGCAGAAGCTGTGTCGCATTTGTACTGCATGCAGTTGCAGTAGTCAAGTTCAGCCTCAGAAAGCCAGACGTTTATTTTGTAAAATGCACACAGCTGTGACAGTTAAATCCCTTAGAAATGTACCCTCATGGAGGGCAGAGGAGATTTCTGACCCTGCTGGTCTAGTCTGGTTGGTCTAGTTTCTAGTGGGTGAGAGGAACGTGCACTGTGGGCTCCCTGACACGTGGACATCTGCCAGCAGCAGAGAATTGAAACGCTTCTCCCTTATAAATCTAGGCACTAGTTTAAAATGGGACTCTCTTGCTCTGCCCCTGTGAGGAAGAGGCTTCAGTGGGTGACCATGGGTAACGTCCCTGGTCCCATGAAGCAGAAAGAGCTCTCACGAGCTGATGCACCGCATCACCCCGCTCGCCTTTGCTGATCCAGTACTATCCAGTTGTACTCCCTGCAAAACTCTGGGTGAAACAGAAAAGACCATAAGACTCATATATTGTGACTCCCAACACAGTGGAGTCACAAATGTCAGACTTATTGAGGGAATAATTATAGTGGTTCTGTTGTTAGAATGTAGTTTCTCCTCAAATGAATTTTTGCCACACACAAGATTATTTCATACAGGAGGGCATGACTAGGACATCCCAAAGTTTAATAATTGTATATACCTATTAAAAAATAACAGTAATAATGTATCTTTTTTTGTTTAGCTGCCCAGGGCAGAGTAAAGAAGGATATGAATATGCTCAATTATAAAGCCAAGCAAAAAACAATCACAAGAGATTTTAATAACTACAGATAAGTGTAGCTGATAGCCCAAATAGTTTACTCCAAAAAATCACTTCATTTTTGGAATAACAACTAGGTAAAAGAAAGCTAACAGTCACAAATCCTTCCACAGCAATTGGGTCAAACTGTGGCTGGGTTTTTCTGCACTTACTAAAAAAAGCAAATGTTGCCTATTTTTAAACTAGATTAGTAGTCACACAATATAATACAAAGCATCAGCATTTAAAAATGTTGATTATCTTCAACATACTTTGAATCTGGTTTATTCAATCGTATTTCCCTTTCATTTAGTAGGCTAAACCAAGATTTTAGTCATAATGGAGGAGGTCAACTTTCAGATTTTTTTCTTCATAAACAGCCTCCCTTATAATCCACAGAATCTCCCGAATCTCAAGTAATTCTTCTAACAGTCGCTGTTTCATGTGTATCAGCTTTTCCAAGCTATGTATCCTATATCCTGAAACTACATAGTAAAAATCTGACAGGCTGCTCTCTCTCTTTCCTTAGTCTGGTTTTGAAACCTCTGTGTAAGACCACCGGGGCTGTGGAGAGCCTCTGTGCTATCAGTGACAGCCCCCAGCCGTGCAGGAAGCAAGTCAAATGAGCTGGTGGAAGCAGACAGCTGCATCTCCGCTAATAAAGCCTGAACAGAGGCTTTGATTTCTTTCTAGGCAACAATATGCACAAGCACTGTTATAAATTTACTGCCTTTAATATCATTTAGCCAATTGCATTTCTCTGGCCAGTTTGCCTGTGCGCTCCAAATAGGGAGCGTTGGGTATTACACGCTCTGGAAGCGTTTATCAATAGGATTAATTAGCAGGCGGTGCCGAAAGGAGAAGACAGGCTGTGCTCAGCATCCCCTCGCTACTGGAGCTGAATGAGGGAGCACTCGTAGACAGGTAGGGGAAGCTGCAAACAAAACCAACTCAAGTCTCTCTAAATTATAAGATCTGTTCCCCACAATCCTGTCTGACTCAGGCAGAACTAACATGAGTGGCTGGTTTTCGAAGGGAAGCAGCTCACCACAGTGCATCCAGCTACCTCTGCTACAGTCCCCAGTTTCACTGCAAAGCTGTGACTTGTTACCCTGGTGTGCCTGCACCCCTCCAAGGAAAGCCCATGGTGAGCAAATATCCTCAGGCTGCTGTGGGGCCAGGACTGGCCAATTGTGGGGCAAACCCCCTCTAGGCCAACAGCACAGACAAATCCTCTCCTCTGGACATAATTTGGGATGAGAGGCTGATGCTCCATTCCCCCTCCCGGACTGCCCTGCACCACAGGGCTGGCAGTAGGCATGGGAGAAACCAGGGGAGCAGCACCAGCGTAAGGCTGCAGCAAATTGTAGAATCATAGAAACGTCAAGGCTGGAAGGGACCTTAAGATCATCAAGTCCAATCTACAGCCCTACATCACCCTAACACTAAACCATCTCCTGAAGTGACACATCCAGCCGTTTTTTAAACATGTCCAGGGATGATGACTCCACCACCTCCCTTGGCAACCCATTCCAATGCTAATACTCATGTTTCACTCCAGTTTTGGGGAACAAAGCAGTACCTCTGCTGTTTGGGGTCGTGGCCCTTTGGGGCTCCTCTGAAGGAGTTTTCTTGTTTCTCCCTGTTTGGCACAGAAACTGTAGGCTGAACCCTAGCTCTCTGGCATCCTGATTTTTAAGCTATAAATAATTTCACGCAAAATGATTTTATCTTTTTATCAATATCCAAGTAATGCTGCTTGAGGCCAATGGCTATGTGAATACAGGCTCCTTCTGAAGTGAGTTCAAGCCTAGCTGAGTAAAAAAAAATGAGGACAACATTTCAGGATTGGGTCCAGTTTAGGTAGTTGTTACTGTATCTGTATGCAAAACCAATGCTTGAAAACTGCAATTTTTGAATATAAAGGTGTTCTCTATCTTTTCATAGCAACTCATGTATAGTCTTGCAAGATACAAGCTTCTTTGAATTTAAAAAATTGAAATGCTTTATTTGTCTAGAAGTCTCAGCACAGACGGAGATTTCTGAAATTCAGCAAGACTGGAAGCCTTCATTTCTCAGCAACGAAGAATTCACCCAGCTGATGTTGGAGGTGAACATGCATATGTACCTATCCTAATTTTGTCTAGAAGTCATGCCCATGTATCCAGATACATGCTCATGTATCTAGAATAAAATATCATCTGCAGTTCCAAAAGAGGTTTCAGGTACACCCATATTTGATCATCGAGCAGAGCTGTCACTGAGACGAGGGTTTAAGATTCCCCACATGTTGCTTTTCACTCGACGGTGCCGTCGCACTGCTCTGCCGCAGCCTGTGGAACTGCACAGGGACTCCCCAGAAATGCAATCCAGGGGAGAGATTCAAATCACAGGTTACATTTTGTTTTTAAAAACTGAGGTGAGGAAATGGGCAGGTGGCAGTTTTTCTCCTGTTCTTGGAAAGCGTTGTTATTACCTAATATTCATGCAAGACTAGCACCTAAAAACCAACAGTGTTGCGTCCCTCTAGTGCCAGATGCTGTACAGGCGAATAAAACCTGACAGCTCCTCTTGGTTCGATACAGTTACTGCTTCCACTCCAATGATTTTCAAGGCCTTTATCAAACCCTTTTTATTCTAACAGGGAGCAGGGTTATATTACAATGATCATTTTTAGATTACCTGTAAGGTTTACCATAGGTGATTTTAACACTAGCTGGGATTTGAAGGGAGGTGACTCAACAGTGTTCATGCCGGTTTGAGATGAAATGCAAACAAGCTGCTAAAATGCAGTTTTCTCTCTCAGTTACAGCTAGAACCTTCTTCAGTGAGGATCTTCTTCCATACTAAACACGTGGAGGTTGCACGGCCCCGCAGTGTCCTTTGAGAAGGCGCTTCCCACAAATGCTGTGAACGTGGGGCATGATCCAGGCTTTGGCAGTGGGCAGGGAGGGATGCTGGGGAGCTGCTTGGCCCACCAGGGGATGACACAAAGCCCAGGTGTGCTGCTGGCCCCCAGGGCCTTGCAGTCCCTCGGCCATTGCAGTTTGTTTTGATGAGAGTCCCCTGGTGCAGCGTTACGAGGCGCTTTGCTCCCATTGCGGTGACAACCGCCCATTCCCATCTCAGCACGCAGGAACTTAACATACGTAACTCCTTCAGCCTGCAAAGAAATATTTCCCTCAGATAGCAATAAATTGCCAGCTGGCTTGACTTGCTGGGCCCTTGTTGATTCTACTTGTATGCCATACAATTTTAGGTGAAAGCAATTGCTTTTAGTTTCCCACCTTATGAATCACCTTCTTGCTACTGTGATTTTCCATGCCCTTCAAGACAGAACTGGGTGTTGGGATATCCAGTTGAGCCAGCTGTTTATCATTCTCTGCTTTTTTGTCTTTCTACTAATCTTATTTTATTAACATTTGGACAAGACTGCTTAAAGTTTTTCCCATCCTGTTAATAAAAGATGGGAAGGGGTTTTTTCAGGCGTTGATACAAAAGAATCAGAGCATAATTGACTGCGGTAATACATCAGCTTTCCTGAAAATGGCCCTTTCTTACCCCATTGAAAAGGCTGTCATCAAATTACATAGGAACAAGTATTAGGCTGTTTGTCCATCTATGCCTGTTGCAGTAGTGAACCTTCGAAGAGGGATGTGCCCTCTTAATGATGGAACGACTAGTTGTGAGTAAATAAAACCAGAATTATGTATGCATATATTAACATGATTTTACCACAAAACCATGTTGTGAGTCACTTTATATAATTTGCATTGGATATGAAATAAAGGGTTGATTTTTAAAAAACCAACAACCTTCACCATAGTAACATGCACAATCCAGCTGCCTTGTAAAACCACTGCTCTCTTCTACGGGTTAACATCCATCATGCTATTTTAGAAAACAGCTTGAATGTACCACACTAAAGAAAAACATATTCTCTGCACTTAGATTTACAAAATCAAACTAACTATAGCAGCTGGAGGGTTTTCAGAGATGCTAAACACACACTCTTCTACCGGGGTATAAGTTATTGACCTGCTTTTCAAAGGATTGTAGCACCAGCAGATTCCCATTGACTTAAATAGTTGTGGGTGCTCAGCATTCTCTGGAAAAAAAGGAACATATGTTTCTCTCTTTATTTGAGGCTTTGTGTTTTCTTTTCCAGTTCTTTTTTTTTTTAAAAAAAAACAATTAGCATTTTCCAGTCTTCTCAGAAATCTTTCCTTTATTGAAGTCAGCGGGGGGTCGGGAAGGATATGCTGCGGCACGCAGGATCGACTGCCAGTCTGGCTCAGAGGCGTGCCTGGATTTGCAGGAAGGTTTTGTAACCCCATGGCACCCTAATCAGGTTGTTTGCAGCACACCTGTCTCCCGAACAGGTACTGCCTCTGGAGCACAGCCAAATTCTGCTCCGGCTCAGTTGTGCTTGCAGAGCCCGTACTGCTCAAATGCTGCAGCCAACACCGAGTCCAGATCACCAGTGAAATGACAGGCAGGACCCAGACCTCCTCAGCTCGAAGGCACTGGGCTCTTGAATTACAACAGGAAGGGTTTAGTAGAATCTCTGAGCAGATTGCTATCAAGTCTTAAATTTTTGAGGGGGTTCTGGTCAGAGTAGGTTGCTTTAGATCTGGAAATCTACCTTGTTTTAACATTCGAACAACATTTAGCTCAAAACTTTGCAGGTCAGACTGAAGAAGAAACTGATTTTGAAGGTGAAATTGCCCTTGTGCAGAGGATGGGGGTAAGGCTGACGTTCCCCTTCAGTCCTAGGAGTGACGAGGCTTACCACAAGAAGGGACTAAAGTGAGGAATAAACACTGTAGAAGAGTGAATTTCTCTTGGAATGAGTGATCTAATACCATGACCTTTAAAATAAATCACTCAATTAAAACTCAGACCCAGGATTATTTGGTCATTTGCATTGCTTTTACTTACATGAAAGCCCAGTAATATACAACGTTACATTAACACAAAGTGAGATTTATGGGGTTTGCAGCGAAGTACCATTCTGAGATAGGACCGCATCCTTTCATCGTCCTTTGATATTTACACAGAGCTCAAATGTTCATTTTAATAACTTCCAAGGGATCCCGTCTTAGTCATTTTGCATTATTAAAATGTGTGATTAATTTAAAAACTGAGACATGAAATGTTCCTGTGAGCCCTTTGTTGCTTCAATAGTAGGTTTTACTAGACTACAAAGAGTGTTGTAAAACTTGAATCAGACTGTAAAATCAGAGAATTACTGTTCTGCAACTTGAGATAACGTTCCTACAGCTCGATAACAATATGGTTCTGAAGTCAAACTGTTTTGATCAATGCGCAGTGAGACGCCCTGTTTACACCACTCGTTCTTATTAATGCACTCTCCACTTGTCTGTCTTCTTTAGGCATTAGATGGCTTCATTATAGCAGTAACCACAGGTGGAAGCATCATCTATGTGTCTGACAGCATCACACCTCTTCTAGGGCATTTACCGGTGAGTAACTCTGGCATCGGCTTTTCCTTCATCGTAGGATCGGGCCCTGTGTTTTTAGAAACAGATGCAAAACAGCAGTGGGTGGTGTTTCCCCAAAAATGCAGTGAAGGGTTTAGTCTTTGCGTTATGCTGGACACTGCTGTTGATCAGCTCTGTTCTCTCTCTGTGTGATTCATACCCGTCAGATTTTTGTTGCTATGAGGCACTTTGGCTTGAATGGAAAAAGCTCTGCAGGAATACTCTGGCCAGGGGAGGGACAGGGTGACCTGGCTGATCTTTTCCATCTCTGATTTCTAAGCTAGCAGAGAATAGCACCAGTGCCTCTGGCAGCACGGCGAGGAGCTTGTTAAGGGCCTTATTCTGCTGCCGGGGAGCTAAAGGACAAAAAAAGCCCCACCGAATTCAGAGTTAGCTGAGGGCTGCTGCCGAGCTGTCCCTGCAGCTCGACTGTGCATTCCTGAGGGGAGCTCCTGGAAGGTGCTGGTGGAGCCAATGCTTGATGCTGGGCTCCGGCACACGGGGCTTGTTTTATCTGCGGGCTGCTGGGTCTTGCTGTGAAAGACACTCCTGTGTGTGCCGGTTTGGGCTGGAGGAGCAGGGGAGAGGGAATGCTCTGAGCCCTGCTCCTGTTGCTAAGGCTGCGCTAGGAGAAATGGCACAATAATTAAGGATTAATTCTCGCACTCATTTTTAGTAGCTGGGTCTCAAATAAATATATGCCCAGGAGAGAAAAATCGCTGCCAAATCATTATTGTACCACCACCCCCGATATGTTCTTCGGAAAATTACAATTCTTTTTCTCTCATTTACCTTTTCACCAAATACGTGTTATGTTTTCTACTCGGACAAATGTATTTCACACACACTATCTTGCTGTAATATGAAAAAAATTATTTTCTTCTGAGACGAAAGGAACTTGATGAAAGGTGGCAGCTCCTGGTAAATGCAAGAATATTGCTATGCAACAACAGATTGTACTGAATTTATCTATTTCAGTTTTCTTTAATCCTCAATAGTTGAGAAAACCAATAGTTGACTATTTTCTGTCATTTGCCTTCACTTCAAAGGCAGAGAGCAGCACCCAGTCCTGCACACAGGCTATTGGGTCTTCATACACTTGCTGATTTCCATGGAATTTTCTTGTCTTTCATGGTTTAGGGGTTTCATTGCTATCCCTTCCAAATTCTGATTCTTAGTGGAGATAGTAGATCTGCTGCCGGGGAGGTAAAGTTTTTGCTGGAAAGTATTTCTCTTCATGAAGGCACATTTCAGCTGGAGAAGGACTTTTTACGGGGGCCTGTAGTGACAGGACAAGGGGCTATGGCCAGAAACTGCAAGAGGGTAGATTTAGATTGGATATAAGGAAGAAATTCTTCACCATGAGGGTGGTGAAGCACTGGAACAGGGTGCTCATAGAGGTTGTAGATGCCTCATCCCTGGAATTGTTCAAGGCCAGGCTGGATGGGGCTTGGAGCAACCTGGTCTGGTGGGAGAGGGCTGTCCCTGCCCACAGCAGGGGAGTTGGAACAAGTTGATCTTCAAGGTTCTTTCCAACCTTAATCATTCTATGATTCCATGATTCTTCTGTGATGGTTTGATGGGAGGACTGTTTCACCTAAAAGCTTAAGTTCTGGCTGAACACGGATAGATTCAGGTTCATATTTCCCAGGTTGGACCATCAGAGCCTAAATCAGTTTTCCTTCCCAAATTCAGGCCTCGTGGGACAGTACTGCACAGTATCCATCCCAAAGGGAGGACAAAGATGGGCATTATTTTTTTATTCACACAGAAGTAGCACATAGCAGCCCAAGCCAGGGACCAACCTGCCGGCACTGGAGCAGGAGTTCCCACACACCTTCTCAGAGGTGACGCAGTGATAATGGTTAACAACTGCCCCACCAGCCCACACGTGTGGATTGCCTGCATGCATCCCAGAGACCGCAAGGGAGAGAGCAATAAAGGCTTCTGCCTGCCCAAAGTCAGCAAATTGCCACAGGCAGGGTCCCAGCTGAGTAGGCACTAGGTGCACACTGGGCATTTTAGTCCCGTGTGGCCCCTCTCATATGTCTTTTTAAGTTTTAAAACTGATCAGAACGCTGTCTGGAAAATCTATGAGGCTTATTTTGTTTACCTCCAGGATCTATTTGTAAGCTAAATTCAGTCACTGTTTGAGAGACAAAATACCAATTCTTTCTCCTCTGTGACTGCAGGGAAAAAAAAAATGCTCTGCAAATCTTCTGCTTTGAGCACTGAAAGGGAAGAAAAACTGGGCAGAATGCAGAGCAGGGCTCTCTCAGGGCCCCTATCAAGAAATCTGATGTATTTTCTTTCATTTAAAATCATGAAAGACTCTGGTGCTGAGAACAAATATATCCAATTCTCTTTAATACAGCTTCCCTAAGTTCCACAGAGCATTTTCAAACACAAACTTCCTCTGTTGTAATTCTAAATAGTTTGTTATTACAAGATCTGGAGGCTGCTCCTAGGGTCGGTTGATGTGAAGAGAGATTTAGCTCACGTGGTAAGATTGACTGAAGTTGAAGTGAAATGAACTCCTGGAAACCTGATCACAACTCGTAGCATTTGTCAGCCAGATGGTAGGCTATGACCTCAAGACTATGCAGTCTCTGGAGGCAGAAGGTGCTGTGCCTGCTCACAGACTAGGATAGCAGTGTCCATCTCACTCAGCTTTAGTCCTCTAGCTGAGGGCTTCATGCCCAGTGCCCGCCCACGCAGGACTCCTTGAGGGTTGGCGGGGAGGTGGCTGTGCAAAGGCAGGAGGTCCCTGGCAGGGCTGAGCATCACCTGGGGAGAGGTCTTCTTTCCCAGGGGCTCCCAAGTGAAGCTCAGGCAGCTGCAATGCTTTGTGGCTGCGTCTGCCAGCGGGGCACTGCAGAATGATTAGAATAATTAGACAAAGCTGCAAACCAGTCCCTGCCAATCAATACATTTTTGTCTCTGGCGATCAAATTTTGTCCATCTCTCTGGTCACCTTTTTGCCATGGCACCAGATGTCTGCTCTTTGGGTCTGGTGCAGAATTAGGTCTGAATAACTTGCCTGGCATTTCCTATAGTTCCAGTGAGACCACAGAGTATTTGCTTCCTTCTGCCTATTTTACCTGTGGATATATTCTTGACTGACATGTTGACTCAAGAATATTGTTGGAGCCTTGACATGTACAAGACCCAGAAATTCTGTTCTGTGCGCTGCTTTACAGGTGTGCCTAACCTCTGCAGGAGGCAAGAGTTGTGAAACACAGTAAAAAGTAGATAACTCATCATTTTTTCTAACTCATTTTTTAAGAGTATTTTCTAACAGCAAAGAGGCAAACCAAACATTAAATTCTGGATATGGTACACGATGGTGGCAAAACTTATAAATGCCAGAACTTACAGTGAATAGCTGCTGCTCAGAGCAGGAGGTTGCCCTGAAGGATGTGTGGAACAAAAATCCCTTGCAACTCCAATCACAGGTGTTTGAGGCTATCGCCTCAAACAGAAACAATGCTGCAGAACTGATGATAGGTTTTGAGTTGGAGACAAAAGGTGGTACATCCTCAGATCACTGAACAAGCAATTGTGAGTTTGAGGAGTGGCGACAGCTTCCATCTAGTCCTCCTGGAGTTACTGCTGAGTAGATGGGAGATTAATTAACCTCTATGAAATTACGTGAAACTGGTGAATAAGTATCATTATCTACCCTTTACAGGTAGAAAAGAAATGAGAAAGAAAAATTGCTTTTCTGAGATTGTACCATAAGCCTTGAACAGAACTCCCCACTCCCTTCAGGTGTTTTTTTTTCATATGCCCAAAATTACATGAACAATGTACTATATTTTGTATAAATAGAAATATAAGTATAAATACCATATGTGTATATATTATAGATATACACTGTATAAAATATAATGTATGTATATATGTATTTAGACATATATATAAACTTAATCACATACTGTATCAGTAGGATGCCTATTAATAATGTAAACACTAAAGTCACAAAAATCATTTTCAAGTATTCTTCACGAAAGGAATATTCAAGTAGCGAGCACATGTAATAAACACTTACAACTGCATAATCTAAAGTGATATATTACCACATCAATATAAGTGTATAAAGAGTAGCACTCTGATTTTCAAAGTGTACTCGATGCGCTTCACTACTCTAAACAGGAATTCCACACATAACAGCAGGCATAGGTGGAAAGCAGAGGGAAACCAAAACGCAATCTTACCTAAATACATAAATAAATTATGAAGATTAATAGCTTGCTGGTCTCATACAGGGCTAACACATTTTCAACACAGCTATACAGTCTGATAGCAGCTGCTCTGACGGCACACACGGAGCTGAGTAGGTGTGCCAGCTCAGCCCAATGTAGTCTTGAGCCCGATGGATATAAGTTCCTGCCATTAGAGGGTCACTTTATCTCAGGACTTCCTTTCAGGTATGCTTTTCTAGCCTTAGGTTGGTCACCATGATGAACACAGTGAGACCTTCCTCTTGGCAACCCTATGACAGATTCTTTGTTTTCTGCATGCTGGGCCTTTTCCATAAATCCATCTCTTCTTTCCATTCCCAAATCTCAGCGCCTTGACTTCAGATGGATTTCATGTTTATGCCAGCTGATTGTGGGGCTGGAGACACTCAGGCATTCAGCCCACAGCTGGCCAGAGGGCTTGTGCCCGTGGCACCGCCAAGTCCCCCTCCCTGGGGACTAACTACTGCTGCAAATTGATGTCCAGACTGTGGAATCCTCTGCTCCCTGCTCCCACCTGCCAGGATTCAGGAAGCGGGGAGCAACAGCTGCCACCCCAAAGGCACTTCCCAGGAGCTGAGAAGGTCTCCCCAAGGAGGGGCTAGATCTAGGACTGACCTGGCTCTCGAGGCTGGCGGTCCAGGGTGACTCTCAGCCCCAATGGTCCCACTAATCAGGGTTGGCTGGGGAGAGAGAGCAAGCTCCAAGGATCCACAGCAGCCCTGTGCGTGGAGCAGGTGAGCAATGTGGGGAGCCCAGGCACTCATTTTCCAGCTCAGTCACAGGTCTCGTCACTTAATTGTATGGATATACCTGATTGCATCTGATGGTCTCTGAGAAACGTTAGAGGATTATCACTGAGATCCAAGAATTAAGCCAAAAATCATCCCACAGAGAAGTGGCTGCTCGGTTTGCTCAGCAGTCTCTCCCATTTCAGGCTTTTTCAGGAGTCCCTGGAAATTAGTGGAAAAACTGTCGACTGCCACAGGCTTTGTATCCACGTCACTGCCCATCTCTGCAAGCATTGCTTGTCTTGATATTTCTGTTTTTCTCAAAGGTTCTTTTTCTTTGCAGTGTGATGTCTTGGATCAGAATTTGTTAAATTTCCTCCCAGAACAAGAACATTCAGAAATTTATAAGATGTTATCTTCTTGTATGCTTATGACAGATTCTGCCTCATCGGATTACCTAAAAAGTAAGTTTTATTTTATCTTCCCCAGTAAATGAAAAGCATGGGCAGGATAAAAATTTTCTTTCAGAAAGAGTTTTTTATGTGATGTGCAATATAAAATGTAGGTTTGTAGCCTTTTAAAAAGATCTTGCCACCTGGAATGACCCCCTGGTTCTATTTTTAAATTAAACTCTTTGCCTTTATTTTACTAGGCTAAGACTACTTGCAGTTATGTTAATTATTAAATATCGTATCTTTTGAGACAGCTAAGGAAAATAGGTTAGCTGATGGAAACTGAGAGTTTGCCTGAGACAAATCACATCTTAATTGGTATTTCAGCCTGCTCAAGTAAAATGCTGTTCAGAGATATGCTAATGTCACATACCTTTGGTTTACATTATAGTTGAAAAGTATCTGTAAAATCATTGTAATTCTTTTTCAAATTGAATTTTGTTTTTCATAGAAGTGCTTTTACTTGCCTCATCCTTACTGACTCTAGCAGGTAAGATGTAGGAAACCAGAATACACACAATAACGTAGGATGTACAGCTGCTTAATCTACTGTATATACAAAACCTACAGCTGATAGCTAATATGCCAAGGTTAATTTGATAGATATTTTGAGGCAATTAGGCAGAGTTTTCCAACACAAGATGTAGAACAGCTGTGAGTCATGACAAGCCTAAATAGAAAAAAACCCAAAACAAATCTATAAATGAAGGATCCAATTCTGTCCTTCGCTACACTGGTGCTATGGCAGCATGGCACCTGTGATGAAGGTGGTGTAAGAGAAAGGCGAATTAGTTTTGGAGGCTGTCCCTGCGCTGCAGGCACACCTGGACAACCTGCACCCTTGCGAGGCGCTTCCTTGCTGAGGCTGTGACCCTGCAATGTATAGCACATCAGTATATAGGACTCTGAGTAGTAACAAGCTGCTCTCATGCTGCCAGTTGCAAGATTGGGGTTGGAAGGCACCGTTGGTTGTGTTCAGCTTAAATAGCATATTTATTTCTTCTTCTTCTTCTTTTAACAATCCAGCTGACAATGAACTAGAGTTTTATTGTCATCTTCTGAGAGGAAGTTTGAACCCAAAGGAATTTCCAACATATGAATACATAAAATTTGTAGGAAATTTTCGGTCTTACAGCAATGGTAAGCTTTAATTGTTGTATGAATGTTACTTTAGCTGTGTAAAATAAAATGTAAGTATTGCTCCATTGAACGAGACAGGCTTTTAACTGAAAGGACTATTTTTAACGTGATGCGGTAAATTTTACTTTACACGGACCTCGCAGCTGTTTTGCAATAGCTGGATGAAGAGCAAAATTGTGTTAGTTGCTTTTGTTACTGCCCTTCACTTGTTAGCAGTGCTCCTGGACTCCGGGTAAGTTTGCAAATAAGGACAAGTTCAGAGGAGGGTGTGTTTGTGCTCGCTAATCCTGTGTGTTAAGACTGCACTTATTAGCTAAATAACAAGCTTGCTTCCTTATCTATTGGCTTACATTAAACATAGATTCTGTGCCAGAACTGATAACCTGCCTAATGTGCCCTCCCACCCTCCTCTACAAAATTTTGGCGAGAGGCGGCAACGCTGCATAAGTGAGCGCCGGCACCCACCGCCCCTCGCTGCAGCGAGGGGTCCTGTGCTGCTGGCATCTGAGTAGCTGAGGGCATTTCCATCTGCCTCCCTATCCAGCTGCCCTTTTACATTCCTCTCCAGCACTGCAGAACCCGATACTCGCCAAAAACAAAAAGGGAAGAAATACAGTCAGCACAGTCGCTAACGCCCCGCAGCCAGTCTAGGGAAACCATCATTCAAGGGATGAAGAGCAGATTTCCACCTCGCCCGTTCCCTAACAAACAGATTGCTGCGCGGCCATTAGTGTCAGAAATGAAATACTCTTTTATTACTTTCCCTTCTCCTGCCTGCCCAAGTTTGCTTTAGTTACTTGCCTGATTGAACTCCAGAGCGGCATTTCCAAAGTTGCTGGTATTGTTCCAAATAGGTCATCCTCAGCAAAAAAATTCCCCACCGTGCTCTCCAAAAACTGCACGCCACACTGCGAAAAAAAATATCCCTGTCCCCATTTAACTTTCCGCTCGTGCTCCACATGACTAGAATAGAAACCTACATGCAGGATGGAGATATGTATTTCTTGTTTGGTGCCATCTGATTTGAGGCTTTATTTGTATAAAAAATGTAACTGCCTGTATGCTTTCTAGTTTGAATGAAGCGAGATGCGGCTGCCTGACAGACGCGCACACCAAGCTGTTCTGTTTTCTAGAGCAGAAACTGGATTTCAGGTGCTGACTCATAAGGATACATTTCTACCGGGGGAATTTCTGATCCATTTTCTTCAAGGATTTTCAGCCTTTTATTTTGGCGTGACCTTAATATTGCCCTCTCCCCTGTTAGGATTTCATATCCCAGCTTTTGTACCAGTGGCTATTTCTCTGAGGAAAGATAAAACTTGCATTACAGATATCTTCCCTAGCTTAATGCATATAAGCTAAATGGGAACATATTGATTTCAGAGGACACCAAATCACTTTCCAAAGAGCACAGCTTAGAGCTTTCAAATAAGATGTGCTTTCTGCTTCAATTTTTTTTTCCTTTGTGCCACCTTTTTCTAAATCTTCCATTTTATTTTGTCTCTTCCACTTTCTTCCAATCTCTGTTGCAGCCTGACCCGCCAGCTGATACAGAGGGGACAGCATGAGCCCCCTGCTCTGTGAGATGGTGCTTCCTGGCCCCCTACCCCTCTCCCCATTGCAGAATGGCAGCTTCCCCATCCTGGCTATAGCTTCCCTGTTCCATTGCAGAGTTTGGTAGAAAATATGTGTTTCTCCAGGGCATCCCCAGCATTGCTCCCCCTCGGCCAAGGGTGGCCCCCCCTGACCCCCCACCAGCCTGGTTCCTAATGCCACCACCAAACCACCTCCCAGCAAAGGTGGAAGCAGACACACCAGACTCGGTGATGTAGCAGCAGCCAACTCTTGTTTGCTTGGGAGCTGATAACCTTGGGCCAAGGACAGAGCGCGCAGCCGAAGGAGGGTGCAAACCTCCGAAGCGTCTGTCGTTGGCTCCTCCGGGCTTCTTGCGTCAGCCGGCTGCACCCTGAGCAAGGCATGGGGGACATAAGCTCAAGCGAGCACGGTATGAATGCTGCTGCCTTTTGGGCAGCTTTCCAGCCCTGGGGCTGGGGCCAAACAGCTGTGCTTTGGCAAGGGGACTTGAAGCACCTTTGAGTGTCTGATGGGTGCAGTGGTGGACTGGGTTCCGACCTCTGCTTGGCCACCCCCATGCCCCAGGATGCCCCATCATCAGGCACTGTCCTCCCCAGCCCATGTGCCCCAGGGCTATCACCTGCCAGATCTGCCAGGAATTGCTCTCTTCTTCTTCCCATGAAATAAATACCTGTTCTCTAGCCAAACCCCCTTGCCAAGTGGGCAAGAAAGAGTGGTGGGAAAGGGGGAGGGAGGAGAGACTATCACTCAAAGGGCAACAGTCATCCTACATGCGTAGGATCAGCTGGCCCCAAATCCTGCTTTTTGGAGGTGTTTGTGGAGGAAGGAGGCTAAGCTAAAGATAAGAAAAGAGGTAGCTGGGGGAGAAAGACAGAAATTGCAAATTAAGCTTAATTAGCAGAAGACGTTCCTTATGAATGTATTCAAGAATGCTTTTCCCTGTAGCTTTTCACAGCAGTGGAAGTGTGAGCATGTTTTTACACATGGGAGACTGATACAGGATGTTCTTCTCTAAATACAAATCTCTGCCATTCCTTTTTAGCCACCCAATGCCAAGTTCTACCTTCATTTCCAATGGTTTCGCTGAGGGCACTCTGAGTCTGCCCTGCCTGCTCGTTCCTGCCGCAGGGATGCCAGAGCCCCAGTGGCCAGGGAGGCTCTTTTATCACTGGGCAGGCTGTATCCCACCAGGATCCCATCAAGAATCTTAACTATTCCATTCTCATTAATGTAATGTTGTGGCAGAACCTTTCGCCATTTCTTTTCACTTAACCTTGCTCATTGCTCATATAATGGTGGTGCTTGGGGGAAGGGGGTCATGCGTGCTGGGGTCCCAGTGACCTTGCCCCTCTCCCTCCTCCCTTGTAGCTTCTCCGTTAATCACACTGTGCCTTATGGCTGAGAACATCATATAGGGATGGGTTTGAATGGATTAGTTTGAAGGGCTGAGGCTTAGAAAGCCAGTTAGGGGCTTAGCTGCTCTCCCTAACTTTAGTGGGAGCTCTGGGATTTTAAAGGCCATTGCACTATAATAATGAGATGCCAAAGAGATTTTTTTTTTCCTACAAAAGCAGAACAAATACTCAATAACTGCCAAAGTAACTTGTCACCAGGATTGCCATCAGGGAGCCAGATCACACACAACCTACTTCAAACCCATGCTACTCTCCCAGAGCAGCAGTCATCAGCATCTTCCTCCATCCGAGAAGGGGTATGAAGATGCACGGGCAGCCCCTAGAAATAGCCCAGGAAAGCTGACATAGCTCATGGCATGTGTTCAGTCTTTCAGAAGATCACCGTCCCTGGAGCTCCTGGGCTCAGCTACAGCTGGAGGCTAAAGGAGCTGCACAGCCCAATGCTAGGGTTAGCAGGAGGGTCCACGCTGGGGCTGGTCCCAAGGATGGTGTGCAACCCCTGCTGCAAGGTCATTTCTGCAGCTGTATCTACACCAGGGATGTGACATGAGTCACATGCACATGAGCGAAACCTCCTCGAATTAGCTGTGCCCAAGCGAGAGCGGCCGGCCAGCGAAACAGCAATGCAAGCTGTGCGGAGTGACTGCATGAGTCACTGGCTCTGCTAAATCAGATACAAGAGATTTGATTTTCCATTTGGGAGGATTATATAATCACCATTAATTAAGCTTCAATGAGAAAAGCAGGACTGTAACCTGACGTGAAGGCTCAGTACTCCCTTGTGAGGAGGGGAGGTGGCCCATGGGCCACTCGGAAGAGGAAAGAGGAGTGAGAAATGCCTACTTGCTCTCAGAGCGAGGGGGTTTGGAGGTATTTTTATTACTATTATTTGCAAATAGGAACTCACATTTCCAATGGTTTTTTTTTAAAATATTTCAGGTTCTGGTCCTGTGGTCCAGATTTTAATGAGAGAAATGAATATATGCAAACATCTGAGGAGCCAAGTGGCATCACTACGTGCTGACCAGGAGTACCTGATCAGGGGCAGAGTCGTGTCAGCATTACCAGTGAATAATACAGTGGCTCCCATCCAGTTCTGCCTGAGGGCTGAGAAGGGGGTTGGCAGTGAAAAAGATAACTCTCAAAAAAATCTAAGGAAATGCTTACCTCCCAATATAAAATGTCAAATTAAGTGAGAATTAATTATTTTACAAAGCAGCTTAATAGCTCACTTTGATGAGAAAAGATAAGATGGGCTGGATTTAACCCTCCTGTGAAAATTGTTCATATATTTGTAAACAGAAAAAGATCTCTCATCATTATATAACCAAATATTTGCTGCGGTATCCTATTTCTGAGTCGACATACTTGCTTAAAAACTCCTGAAATGGACAGAGTCCTGCCTTTCAGAGTGTTTACCAGTATAAAAAGGACCACTAGCATCTTTAAAGTGGCAGATCCCTCCTTTCATCCTAAATGCCTGAAGTTTTCTTCTTGAAGGATGAGATAACTGTTACACAATAAGAGTTCCTGATCAAGTAATATAATTAAATATCATAGTGAAATTTAAAACTGTGCATTTTTGTTCCCAGTTACATGGAAACTCAGGAAGTATCTGGTTACTGGATGCTAATAATAGCAGGTACTCTACTGTTAGCTGATATATCTCTCAGAGATGAGAAAAACCATCAAAAAATTATTATGCTGAGGAGAGAAAAAACCCCACATTTACACTCCTAGAACAATTAATTTAGTCTGAATTTCTTTTTTATAATAAATATATTTATACAGAAGGTACATTGATCTTGAACCTTGGATGTTTCCATGCAGAAACTTCCAATAACAAGAATAACTTAAACTGAAATGAATATTTTGGTCAGAACCAACAGCTACGTCATATTATTTGCTATTAACAGTATCACTGAGGCAGCAGCTAGCAATCTGCAGCACTTAATGGGCATTTAAGAAAAAAGTCACCATTCCTGTCCTAAAGAACAGCATACAGGGTATTGAGAGGAGAGGAACAAAGAAGATAAGAGTATATCAGAGTAGACAAGTGATGTATGGATACTCTTACTGATCTGAAGTTACTGAGCAGTCTGGCTTGCCACTGGCAGTTTAAATGTCTTCGTTATATATATTAATTGATGAATATTCTGTTTTTCTGTGGCCTGAATTTATTTATATGAAACAGTCTTATTTTGTTCTGGTCCATTTAGCTTGTATTTTTTGAAATCACTGTTCAGTTTGCTTGGCAGTTCACCAAGACTGGTTCTTTAAAAATTAGCATCTACTGACAAAACAGGAAGGAGGAATTTCCTTTTTCAAATGGCATAAATGAGAGGCTTGCTGTTATAGGAAGAGTATTTTTTAAATATCCTAAGTTAAAATTGGATGGCCAAGTAACGGAGTGCTGTGCTATTATTAACTGAATAATGTGGCATCTGGGTTTTTTTAAATGTGTTTTCATTCATTTTATGGGCATGATTTGTATCCTTAAGGATAAAACTTTTTTGGTCTATGGTAGTTAAGGGCTTTGTTCCCTATATATATTACATATTTTTAACTTCTTGTCCTTAGTGTTCTGGTCTTTTAAAAACAAACAAGGAAACAAACAAACAAAAAACAAACAGCAACAAAACCCCTGTAAACAGCAAATAATTTTTTCCTGTCTTTTTCTATGATATTTACAAGTAATTTAATATTCCTACAAAACAATTTTGTGGTAGCTCTAGGAGCAGCAGAACTAAAATTCATGCCAAGGGGCATCAGCTAACTGATATATATGAGACAACTGTTTAACCTTTCCAATTATGAATTTAGCTTTGTCACACAACATTCTAGTTCCCTACTCAAGATATTTTGCCTAAATCATTTAACTGTAAAACACACATGCTCTCGTTTACTCAGTGCACCTGTTTACAGCCAGCTTAACATTTTCATCAAGCCTTTTCTGACAAAAGTACTCCAAGACCTGTATTTGACTTTTGTAAATGTTAATATCGTCATAGCCTCAGACTTCATCCTATATTGTCCATTCCACTATTTTTCTGAGGTGCTCTCAGAAAGTTCACGACTGAACTTTGCTACTTCAAGATGTTATGTATTTCTTTAAGAGACTTGGCGAATTATAAAGTATGATTTTTCTGAAGGCATGCTTAAAAGATTATACAGGGATTTATTTTTTTTTAATTCATGTAATGATTTTTTTTTTACCTACACTTTAAAATTTATCAACAAAACAAGTTTCAATGCACTGACTAGCTGCAAGAGCAGAGCAAAACACTGTGGAAGGAACAGATACCAACAAAATAAGTCAGGCAGCAGAGCAATTCAGAATCAAATGTGGGATTTTTTTCTCTCGGTTATGGCAGTTGTTATTTTCAGATGGAGATGTACATTTCAAGGAGGTGGCTACCTGCCTGCATCATCAAGGCTTTTAATGCTCTGGACTTTGTCAAAGGCAGCTGAGCACAGAGGTGGCACAGTAGCTGTTCAAAGACTTTCAGCCTGGCCAGCTGTGTCCCATCTCTTTGAGCTTGTTCATTCCCCGCCACTTCAGTCCAACATTCTCAAATGTGGTCATGAAATCCCAAATTTAGTACATAGCTGTCCTGTATGAGAATTATTACCCTCTTAGTATTGTGTTTACCTCTCGGAAATACAATCCTATTTTGTAAAAGCCATATTCAGCAACATGTTCTGCTCTCTTCTGGGAATACATCTCAGGCTTGTGGCTGTTTACATCAAACAGCTGATGTAAAAAAGCCATCCACTCTCTTTGGCATAGCTCAATCTCCACTTATCTCCACTTTCTTCTGCAACTGGTGTCATTTGCAAGCCTATGGTTTCACTAACTAGGTTAATTTATTATACCTGCACTTCACAGGCTGAATGTGCTTATCTTATTTTCATATCTTAGAGCCCAGCCTGCAAGCATTTGCTACTGAACTTGGCTATTACAGAGAGAAACAGCCCCATTGACTTCAAATGTGACAACATATTACATAGTAAGCTTGAAAGTAACTTTTTACAATGCCCTTAATGTGGGTTTATAGCAATCCCATTAATTTTTAAACAGGGCTGAGCACAGAAATTGACAGACCTGCACAAAATAATCATATCAGAGAAGAACCAATAACTCTTTACGCAGGCTTCTTCTGTTTCCTGTGGGTCCTAACTCTTTCTTCTTTTTTTCCACCTCCCATAGAAGCCCTCATATATGCACATAACCCCAGGAGCAGAACGGGAATGCATATTCCTAGGAAGTCCCCAGAGCAAGTGTGCTTTGCTGGTGAAAGGAGGAGAATTTTGCCCACATTTTTTATCTCAATAACCAGTCAGCCATGCCCTCCAGACTCAACTGCAAGAGAGGGCTCTAATCTCAGTGGATGTTCACATCTCTGCTGCCTTCTCAGATGAGGAATCTTTCTTCCTCTTTTTGGCACAATATATATTGTGCACACAGTGGCCTAAACCAGTTAATCACAGGTGTGAACTCTCCTCAGAGTACTTATTTTTCTGTCTCATACCTTGTTATCTTTGTAATCAGCTATGTGTCATTACTCTAAGACTTTTAATAGGTTGAACTGGGTTCCAAAAGCACATGTGATATGTTGAGACTTCTTCTATCTCTACAATTTATGCTAGTGAACAAAAGTCCAGTGCAGAAGCACTGCAAAATAAAAAATTGTTACTTATCTCCTGCCCACACAAAACTCTTCATTTTCACAGGAATGGACATGCTTATCCTTGTTTTATCCTATACGGAAGAGACAAAACTGTAGGACACGCCATAAAGTCTGACAAATGAGCCTCATAGTAAGAAAAGATAGTTTCATATTAGCATTAATCCCTATTAGCATTAGATTAAATCATATTGGTGAACTCTGGCTGTGGGTTGGGACCTTCTCTGCCCCCATGGGAGATAGTTTGCTGGGCAGGGCAAGAGCCCATGGGGCCAGCCCAGTTCCTACTGCAGCTTAGCACAGTTTTCTTTCACTGCTGTGGGAGTGGGATTACCACCTCTAAACAGCTCAAATTTGGATGAAGAATTTGCATGATGTCATTGTAACACATGACTGCGGGCTAGATTAAGGCAACACGTTCTTTTGGCAGCACATCTCCATGGCAGGAGGTGGTAGTGTCCTCTCAAAGCAGCACAAGAGCCACGTGATCATGAAAGACACAGATAAAGAAACGTACACAAAATCTGCAGCCACAGTGTTTCAGGAGACAGCAGGTCTGGTGGGACTGCAGGCTCACCAGCTCTGGAAGCCAGTGCCACACAAAAAGTCTTCTTTGCTCTTCTTTAAAACAAAGGCAACTTGAGCATGCTGGAGACAGTTCTCCATAGATGCAGAAGGGGAAGGCACACTTCAGCAGCCGAGAATCACAAGCAGCCTCCTGCAAGCCTGATGAAGCCTCCCTGGCTGTGGGCCTTGGTGTTTTGCCACCGATGACTTGACGAACCCACTTCAGCTACCTCCCTTGCCAACACTTTTTTTCACTGCCTCATGGAAGTTAGGGCGCTAGGCATGCTGCAGCACATGTTTTTTTTTCTTGCGAGTGGTGAAAAAGAGCAATTAGATGCGTGGGGTTTCTTTCCAGAAAGCTGGTTTATGCTCTGTAATAAGGTTTGGCCGTATTTTTATCAGGATTAACCTGTAAGATTCATACTTGGAGTTAAGCTCTGATATCTTTCTGCCTAACATGACTGACTTGGATTTAAATATATGCATATCAGCTTTGAAAGCTTTTAGAGCACTTCTCTGAATAAAATTGGTATTAGTACACTTCAAGTGTGCAAAATACTCAGGGAGAGCAAATCTCAAATGAGACATGACTCCGCCTCCCATGTTTTTTCCCTACCTAGTGCCTAACTCTACTTGCAATGGCTTTGACGAGGCTGTCCCAAGGGCTTACAGAACATCCCCGGGAAAGCAGATCTGTTTTGTTGCAACCGTTCGTTTGGCAACGCCTCAGTTTTTAAAGGTAAGTGCATACCCTGGGTCCCATTCATTTCAGAACTCCTCAAAACACTGAAAAGGTGGAGTGACACACAAAATTCTCAGTTTTGCTAATTGAATGGATTACAGGTATCACATTTCATGCACAAAAATCCAGTGAAAAGGATTATCAGTGTGAGCCAGGATCTGCAGTAGTGTCACTTCTGCCCCCCTTGCATGGGAAATGGAAACCCCCTTGTCATTAGGAATCGCAAAGTCACTTTGAAATTGGGTTCTTCTTTGCTGCTTTCTGTTCCTGTGATGGGACAGTGTATAGATAGACACCAACACTCTGTCATTTGTGCCTCTCGGTGCCTTTGGGTGAGTGCTGCTAGTTTCCCTCCTCGTAAATCCTGGTAGTAAGATAGCTGCTTGTGGAAATAAGGACAGACCACCCAACCTTGTGCCTGGTACCGTAGCTCCCTAATTAAAAAATGTGAGCTACTGCATCAGGTGTTTCATCCTTAGAGGTCAAGAGAATTTTAATCTTAATGAGACCTAGCTGATATGAAATCACAGCTCCCTTGACCTGGCTCCATTACTGCTCTGGGACTTGCAGGGCACTATCAATTGATTCATGGTCCCAGCAGGCAAGTAGTGTCCTTTCTGGGTAAGTGAGGACACCTCCCATGCATCTTAACCACAGTAATCATATTAGCACTAGGGGCTGGAGTTAAGGTCTCCAGGAACCCTGAAAGCAAATTCCCTTGTCTTTAAGCAGCTAACGTCTCAAAACAGGGAAATGAAATGGGCTGCATGTGGCAATGAGCTGCCCAGTGCTAGGGAGGAAGCTGATGCTGAACAACCTGGAGAAGGTGTTAGCTGCCAGGAAATCCTTGACACCGATCTCTTCAGTTCACATGTGTGACTCACTTAATCCCCACTCATGATTTCCTCCTCTAAAATGAAGACAAAAGTATTTATCCGGCTGGCTAAGGAAGGTATAATCAGCATTTTGGTTGCGCACAGCAATGTTTGCATGTTACAGCTAGAATTTTAGGGTATATTCTTGGCAACAGCAAGGATTTTGATGTAAACTGGAGAGAGGAGTTTCAGGTATGCATGAAGCCTTTTGCCTCTGTACAGCCAGCAACTTCAATCAAATTTTGATATATATCAAAGAAATGCTTGATGGCAGCGAGCCTCAGCTTATCTTCTGTTCCCAAGAGGGTTCAAAACATCAGTGGTTTGAAAGACTTTTCTCCTCAGAAGGGACATCAGAGAAAGAAGTGACAGTGGAGATGATGGGAGGGTGTCAGTGAGCCCACGGCACAGAGGGACGTGGCACCAGAGAGGAGGGGGACAGCAGTGTTGGGGGCCAGTGGGCAGGCTGTCCTTATTGGTGATGGTGGAGACCCTCCTGCAGGAGAGTCTTGGGGGACACAATAACTCTGGATGTCACCAAATCCTGAGCACTGATGCTGGCAACTCCCAGGTCATGGGTCTCCAGGCTGACTTTAAGCAGCACGTGGAGCTGGAGCTGCCCCTGCAAACCACCACTGGTAGAGGAGAGGTTGGCAGAGGGGAGCTGCAAGTGAGCTCGGAGCCGGCTGTGGGGCAGGCAGCCAGCCCCAGCCTGGTGTCCTTCCTCCCTTTCCCACTCCCACCCAACAACTAATCACTGCTGACCTCCTGATCCTCATTCCTCTGGGGCAAGGATGTCCTGCTCACAGACAGCCCTGTGCCCAGCCTCCCATAATTCACTTATTAATTATCATTCATATTAATTATCATGTGAGTCTTAAGGGCCAGCTTCTTCACAGCAGCAGTGAAGTTTAAAGCAAAACCAATGCCTTTCACCCACCTGAGAGACTCCATACAGGCTGCCTGCCTGAAAAGGCATTTACTCCTCCACCGTGACGGAGTGGGAAGGAGAGAGTCCCCGTTCTCAAAGAGGGCTTCCAAGGCAGATGGCCAAAAGGGCTGGGCAAGAGCAATAGCTATTTTCAGTAACATAAAGAGAGGGAGAAAAGATGTGGCAAACCCAGGTGGGACCAAGAACAGGCTGGGTACTAGGAAGGGACATTGTTCCTCGGGGCCGTGAGCAGCACAGCTGTCACACCCCGGGTGCTGCTGCAAATCCATAAAACCTTTGGTACCCTGAGGAACAGTCTCAGCTCCTAAGTCCGTGTGCCTCACAATTTCTTCTCCTCAGCTCCTGCAAAAATATTGGCACTGATAAATACAATAGATTACTCTCCAGAATTGCTGGAAAACGTGTAAACCCTGTTTTCTCCTCTTATGCACCATGTATGTATTGCTAGCAAAAGCTAGATGAAGCAGAGGGGTGAAGCTGTAACTCTCAGTAAGTCAGTTTTCTTCACCATACAGGAGATGTGCATTGTGGAAGAACCTCTAGAGGAATTCACATCAAGACACAGTCTGGAGTGGAAATTTTTATTCCTGGATCACAGGTTGGTGACAAGAAAAGCACTCCTGGTTGCATTCAGTGCTTTTCTACTGCTATTTTCGTAGGTGCAATTCTCTCAAATAGTGTTTCACATCTAAATTTTGTGAACAGGAGGGCAATCACTGAAATTCCTATTAAAAAAAAAAAAAGATATTTACTATTTTACCCTCATTTATTTTTATCAGTCTCTTAAAACAAAACTACTCAGTTTCTCAAGCCAAATTTGTGATTAGCTTGTTCTTGTTTCCTTTAACATTATCAATGGACTGGAGCCTGTCACAAGACAAAATGATCTAATTATTATGAAACTGTGGAAATTATTCTTTCCAAATCTGAATCCACTCTTTCCAAATTCCAGACATTGATTGCATGTGTGCAATTCCCATCAAGTTATGGAGGGAAAGCCTGTGCTGGCCTGAGGCAAAGGTACTGGCAAAGGTACAAAGCAAGTGCCTCAGCACGTCATGGTCGAGCTCTGCAAGCACCCAGAGGCAAGCAGCACAGATGATGTCCATTCCTACCCTCCTAGTCCCAGCCGATGATGGTTTCCTATCACTAAACGTTCTACCCTGTGCAGGGACTATGGGAGCTGCAGCAGAGCCCCTGACCAAGGAACAGCCAGGGAACCATTCCTTCACAGCAGGTTCCCATGCAAAGGTCCCTGAGAAGCTGAGTTGCTTTCCACAACCCTATTTTCCCTGCAAAGGTGGGGCTGTGACAGCCTTGTCATGGGCACAAGGTGGGGGAAAGTCAGGATCCAGTCCCCTGGGGTGGACAGCTGTACACCGATGAGAGAGAGCAGATCCTGACACGCAGAACTGCTTGCTCTGTGGTTTACAAACTCCCTTTGTTGTGCCTAACCACAGAGCGCCGCCGATTATAGGATATTTGCCTTTTGAAGTGCTGGGTACTTCTGGCTACGACTATTACCATATAGATGACCTAGAACTGCTCGCAAGGTGCCACGAACACTGTAAGTATCGCACAGCCCAGGTCCCCGTGGAGTCACGGAGACACCTTTTTTTAGTGAAATGTAGTTTCAGTTAAAATTGTGTTAAACTTGGGAGGGGTAGTTTGACCCTTGTCTCATGTCGCATGTCTTAGCACAGCTGTAGCAGACTAGGGACACTGCAGGTGATCGGCATCTGAGCCAGACTTTTCAAGCTCTGAAAAATACATTTCTATCTGCCATATACCTAAAACTAGTCAACAAGACTCACTGAATAGATAAAACATGCCAGATTAGACCCCTGTTCTATTAGTAAAAAATATGCAGAAGTAGTTTAAGTGATCTCAGAGGAGATCCTATTTTGTAAAATTCTTGCGGATTATTTACCCTATTTGAGATACCTGTATTTGAGATTACCTGTGATTATTTAAATATAGTCTATTAAGATTTAATTGAAAGACTCACTAAGTAAAGAAAATGAGGCAATGCTTTTCAAATATTTGCTTACAGAACGGTCTGGAACATCTCAGTTTACCACATCCTGGTGGCCTGGAAATATCCCATTAACATTAGTTTTTTATGTTGGCATTAAGTTATAGAAAGGCTAAATATGTATGTGTTTGGGAGCCCTTGAAATCACTGGGGGAGAGAGCAGAGATTAATTTTGTCAGTGAACCTTTAAAACCTTTAATACACTCCAGTTTACTGCACTTTGATTTCTTGTCAGTCTGGGAATTTTCTTTCAGTTTCAGATGATTTTTGTCTTTGCACAATGTTATCATCTACACTCACTACATTCTGTATCCTCACTTCCTTCTGAATCCATCTGCACACAATACTCATCTTTTGAGGCATTTTCATCCTGTACTTTTCTGCTACAGGACTTAAGATGATCACTCTTTGAAATTAATCCCAGATGCCTAATTAGGCAGTAATGTGATCAGCACATAAACCAGTGTAAGACCTATGTACAAGTTGCAGCAGACATTAATGCACCAGTGTCCAAAGTTAATTGTACTGTGTAGGCACGTACCATCCAAAGTGTCAGAAAAAGAAACCTACTGATCTTTATGGTATTTGCTCAATCATACGACTGACAGGACCGCTCACTCAAAAGGTGCTTAGACTCCTGTCTCCCTTGGGAATGACGGAGGCCACAGATACTTTTTGTCACACTTTTCACATTTTATGTCATTTTCGCATTTGTAAGTTGTGCTACAAGCCATGTATGTTTTCTGCTGGCAGTGATGCAGTTTGGCAAAGGGAAGTCGTGCTGCTATCGGTTTCTGACCAAAGGACAGCAGTGGATCTGGCTCCAGACCCATTACTATATCACCTACCACCAGTGGAACTCCAAGCCAGAGTTTATTGTGTGCACACACATGGTGGTAAGGTATGGAAAATCCTATCTACTGGCAGGGGCATAAAGGACTGTAAGATAAGGGTATCCTCATGACTGCCAAAATTTTCTCTTGGAAAAAATTACACCTTTTATGTAACAAAAAAAAGGGAGACTGAACTCTCTGAAGGATATATGTTTATTATAGAAAAAAATCATCAGACTAAACCTTATTTTAGCCTAAGCTTGATTTGTCAGCCAGGAGTTTAGGGGCAAATTTACTGTCACATTTTTTCATTTTATGCAAAAATAGGGAATAGATGGATCCCTTAACTATTCTCATAATTAGTTAAGTTACAATGCTTGCCTTGTTTTTTAAAGAAGTATGTGGAAGCTTTCCAGTCAAGTGGTTGTAGGCTGTGAACTTGACCTTTATATAAACTTCTTTAATATACCTCTTAACTTCAGGAAGACAGGAACAGAGCAAAAACTTAAAATTATTCTCTCAAATGTTATTCAGTCGCATCTGACATAAGTGATTTTTCAGCTGTTCATTTAACCTGCAAAATGTTACAATAATTTGCTCCATTTGCTTAAAGAACATTTTGTGAGATATAACAATACCATGTTGATACATATAATTATATTTTATATTCAGTTATGCAGATGTTCGGGTGGAGAGGAGACAGGAGATGGGCTTGGTAGAAGTGTCCTCAGAGGTTGTGTCCTCAGCACTAAAGGTACAAAGGGAAAAGTTTTTTCATTCATATATATACAGCAGTCAAAACTTATACCTATGTTATCATCACTGAAGACTCCAGCATGATCTTTCTGGGTGGATTCCCTCAACTTCAGAATTCGTTGCACACTAAATAATTTTAAAGTAAATTGGATAAGCTTATGAAAGGATAAATTGGGAAATCAGTAACAGGCACAAATTAGTGGAATGTGGGCAGGGGCAACGTGAGGTATCTCCACCTTTCCTTGGCAAGATACTACAGTCTAAAGATTGATTTGGACATGTTCTGGCAATCAGCCTTCTTGGCTACATCTTGGTGATCTGCTGAGAGAAGAAAGAAAAGCTCCTCCACGGTGCAAGCTGAATCTCTCACAGAGGTTGCAGTTGCTGTCACAGAAAAGAAAGATTCAGAAAATCATCTGAAGGCACAAAATTACTGTGGCAATAGCCTGGTATTTATTTCCAGCTCAGCAATAGCTCTCTGTAAAATGCTTCAGTTAGATGTTCTTTGGAAAAGGCATTGACGCCTCTGCCCAGGTCTTCTGGTGGCCTGCCTGGGATTAGTTCTGCTCAAGTCATTTTAGGCCAGCCAAAGAATTGGGTGTGCAACTATTACTAGATGCATTTCAAGATGTTTTTACCGTGACAGATGCAACAGCTATTGCCTTTTGTTTGTTTGTTTTAGGACAGTGGCACCAGCTTGGATCCTGAACAGCACTTTAATGCACTTGATATTGGTGCCTCAATCCTCAGTGCTAGTCGGACACCCTCAGTATCATCCAGAAGCTCACCAAAATCTTCCCATACACCCAAGTCAGACCCTGCATGTG